CAGGGCTTACCAGGCAGTACCACTGCATCCAGCCCTTTTAACAGTAGGTCCCCGGGACCCCGCCTGGGGTCCTTGTGCTTGCTCAGCAAGAACTCAGTCAAAGGAGCCACCAGCTCAGCTTTCACTTAGCTGTGACTGGTTATAGGACGGTAAAATCTCTCGGAACTCATGGCTGATGGAATCATGTAAACCGACCCGTGGGCCTGCAGGAGGATGACCCCCATCCCTTCTAGCATGTTCTCAGCCTTCCTGGGTTGAGCACAGCACTCTCAGCCGCTTGGCTCTGGAAGGCGGGGCTCTGAGCTGGCTGCCACAGATGACTGTCTACATGCATTTGCCTCAGTGCGGCAGAAAACCGAGTAGCAACCAGTTTTAACCAGCGTGCCGCCTTCCCACGCTCCCGATGGAGGGAACCTTAATCCCACTTTTTCCATGAAAGAAAATTCTTGCAAGCTATTGGTTCCGTTCTCACTCAATTTATTAATTTCCTCTTTGAGTGTTAAGAAGAAGCAGCTTTAAGTATTTTGAAAAATCTACAATATCAACTTCTTCAGGTCTTCCTCAAGGTGGTTTCAATGCAGGGCAAATTGTCCCCACAAACATGTACTTACCACCCCCTCAAGCCATCTTCCTTTCTTTCACCAGGACTGGGATGCTCAAAATAAAAATCAATCATTCGCTTTTTTCTTTTTTGACTTCCGACTTGTATATGAACACATAAAACACTCTAAGGTCAGCGCTGTCTTTTCTTTGGGGTAGGAAATGTTAGTTTGTGCTTACTTTTAATTGCTAGTTGCCTGTTTAGAGAATTCATTTTTACACACTTAGGAGACATTTCTTCATACCCAAGTCTGGTGGACAGCTTGCTGCTCTCTGTGTCTGTGCCTGCATGGTTAGTCATGACTTCATGAGATGCCCTGGTACCCTGTCAAGATGCGCCACGATGCGCCTTCCTCCTCACTAAGAGAGAGTCGTTTGCTGCATGCATCCACATCCTGGCTCTGCAACCCTGCTTGGACACGGGAGGGCAGGGCCGCCTCTTGATGGCTGATGCTGTAAGCACAGCCTCCTTAGGAGAAGGCCAGCCTGACTTTGAAAGGCAGGGGAGTGGGGAGGGGCCGGAGCATCTCAGAGCATTAAATAGCTTTCTGACTGAGAGAGCAATTAGTGATGTAAGTGTGTTCTTGAAAATGAGCTGCTTGGGGGCCCAGCTCACTTACGGATGCCATCATCCCCGCTAAAATATTCCATAAAGAGTTCGGCAGCTGGGGGGGGGGGGTCATCTTCAGAGGCCATACTTATTGGAATTCATAGACGGAGTTTTGTGTGGTAACTGTGAAATGAGGTGATGTTCTGGTCACTCAAAATGGCCATGACCTCCAGGGCTTTCTCTGAGGGGAAGTCAGCGGCATGTGTGCTGCAGACTTGTGGGTACTTGGGGTCATTTTAAGTTTGTACCCACTGCCACCATGATGTTACCCCTCCTTCATTATCAACAAGCAGACCATGCTATCAACAGAGCAAAGGATAGTGTGTACCTGCATGTGTTTTATTTTCTTGAAACAGAGTATTCTTCATGTAATTTATTTAACCTACCAAATTTCATGTCATATGCCCCGGAAGGCGACATATGGACACCAAACTTTGATAGGTATAGTCAGTGATTTCTTCCTTGGTTTATTTTCATAATGACTCTGCAAAGTTACAAACGTAAACTGAGATCAGATAGGGTTTTCTGCTTTTAAGAAAGGAAAATGTATTTTGATGAGGTACAGTCAGTTGCAGTTTTGATATGAGTTTAGCTTTGTAAATTGCATTTAAAGATTGTGTTTGTTTTTTACAATATAAGGAAGCTTAATGTATTTTCCAAAACTGTTGGTGATTTGACACTTTATATCTGAAAAAGTCTCCAGTAATTTTATTACGTAGAGAATAGAATGTATATAACTGTGGGTAACTATTTTTCTTAGAAGTTTCTAGTGGCCTTCTGAAAGACATTAAAAGAGACTTTTAAGTTTGATTTCTCATGTACTTTCAGAGTCCAAAGGTCAATAATTATCTATCATCAGTCTACCAAGGACTGCATCTAAGGAATCTCTACAAGCTCTGTCAGGGCCTCGCTACTCAGTATGGGTTTTGGGTGTTGCTATATTGAGTTAATATAGAGAATCATTATAGCGATGTATGACATGCTAGAATTTCCATCCTCCATCAAAAACTGTCTGACAGATGAGTAGGGCATGAGAATAGCTGTTATGCAGCCCTGAAGTTTGCAAAATGGGGTCCGGGCTTCAGATAGGCAAAGCTATGCCAGTTTTGAAGGCATCAATGTCACCTGCAGCATCCGTGGTTTTGATTGGTCGTCAGGGTCTTCCATGACAGTTGGTGTGAGCGGTGATATCAGTCTGAGCTCATAGCAAGGGGTGTGAGGGTGGTATTCATTATAGCAACAGCAGGTGTGGATGCCCAGCACACAGAGCTATCAGGTGTCTACTTGTTCAGGGACCGCTGTCCAGATTCCCCCGACACTGTGTGAGCCTCAGATCCGTGCACTTGCCCGGAAGATGTTGCGTGACTCCCTTGCGAGCATGATTTCTGCATCACACACTTCCTCCCTTCAAGCTAGAGACCGAAACTGAAAGGACACGCCTTGTGTTCACGCAGACTCTTGAGCTCAAGCAGCCAGGTTTTGGGAGGCCGCCTTGGGACAAGCAGCCAGGTTTTGGGAGGCCGCCTTGGGCGTTCTCTCCAGAATGTTGCCTGCTTCTCTGAAGCACCCAGCCTTGCAGAGTCAACACCACACCGCAGTCACCCGTGTTGGCTTCTCATCTTCAGGTCCTGCCTACCCTGATCCCCAAGCACGGTCTCTGTGGAATGGAAAGTGTGTGAGGCATCCGGCTCTCCTCGGCACGCTGCTTGGCCTATCAAATGCACCAGGTGAACTCCTGGGTAGATGATTTTATGTAAATTAGAGTAACATATTGTCCAGTGGGCCGGTGCACATTTCCTGGCAAGAGGTGGGATTGTGCCACCGTCTCACGCAGCAAAGGGCCGCTATTCTAGGGCCACCAAGGCCTTGGTGAAAGTTGGAGCCCTGCGGGTGCTCCATGCGGTGTGTGTGTACGTCGTGTTTTTCTCAGACTTCTGGATGCTTTCAGCAGCTCACACTTGTTTTGCTGCTGAGCCCTGCCTGGCTTACAGGTGAAATGTCACCGAGGCAGATGTGGTGACTCTGGGGCCCAGCTGTCTGGTCTAACCTCTGGCTCTTTCATTCATCATCTTGGGGATCATCCTCAGTTCCTTGTGCCTCCATTTTTGTCACCTCTAACCCAGGTGAAAACTTGGATTGCGAGCCATGTGTTCTGACATGGGCGCATGGGTTGACACAGAGGTCTTGCATGGTAACCCCGTTTTGTAGCTGCCGGAGAGAAGGTTGGTGAGGGTGAGTTCTGCCGGAGAGAAGGTTGGTAAGGATGAGTTCTGGGCAGGTCTCTTATTTCCCTCCACCGGTCAGAGATGAATCTTCACAGCTGTGTTTTTTACAGTAGAAACTCGAACAAAAATCATCCCCTCTTCCTGTTCTCCTAGGCAGCCTATTGACCTTGCCTCAGCTTGTTTTAGCTGTAAGCACGTTCAATGCAGTGCAGACCATGCCAGACCCGTAGGCTGAGAGGCACCGCACACTTCATGGGTCCTGCTCAGTATCCACAAAATAGACCGAGCTCACCTACTTTTGTTGCTGTGTTGTTCCTTTGGATGAGCTTTTATTTAGGGATTGAATTCAAATGCAGAAACTGACATAAAAAAAATCAAAGACATTACCAGCTAAAGAAGGAAAATGGCAGATCGCGAGCTATGGGGGTGGGGGTGTGCTGTGGTTACTCCGCGTAGCAGACCGGCCTTTATCTGGGTGGTCCCAGGAGGCAGGGAAGGGGAAAGGCTGCCAGAGTGGCTGACCATCCTCACTGCGAAACCGTCGTTATCTCCCACCGACGCATGCTTCAGATTGATACCAGATTAACAAATTGCCGAGATGAAACCAGGGTAATGTATCTCCGGTATAGCTCACAGAGGGGGGGGGGGATGGAGGAGAAGAGGAAAAGAAAGAAAAGCAAGGAAGAAGAAAGTTGCGGGCACACCAGGAACCAGGAAGAAAGTTGCAGGCACACTTGGCACCGTGGAGGCAGCTGGAGGGATAAGGAGGCCTCCTCTGACTTTTGTTAATTTGTAGTGGAGCTTGGGGACTGAGTACAGCTAAGACCTTATTCCTGGGTAGCTGGGGTCATCACAAGTGAAAGAAGGGGGACATGTGACAACTTACAGTCACAGCAGACTGGAGGGAAGAATGATGTAGCCAGAGAAAGATGTCCAGAGATTACCTGAGTGCTCTGGGCAGGTGTGGATGAGGCCCCAGCCGCCCTCAGGGCTGTGATGGTCTGTGTGAAGAAACAAGAGGTGGGCGAAAAGGTGAATGGCTTGAATGTGCCCTAAAACACAGCGACAGTGCGATAATACATGGTGTGTAGCTCAACAGGCACACCTGCTGTCCCCTGGCTGGATTCTAACAAATGGAGACTCCTAGGCCACTGGAGGCCATGTATATTAGGTAGTCGAGTGCCCAGGATAGACATGATCTCAAAAACACCCTCGGAGAGTCCCATAGGGCCCATTAAAAAGCAGCATTGATAAATCAAAGCCCTAGTGGACTAGCAGGCCTGAAACATCAGAAATGAAACGCCCTTGTGTGTGTGTGTGTATGTGCCTGTGTGAGTGTGTGCATGTGTGTGTGCATGCATGCCTGTGTGCATGTGTCACTGTGTGTGTGTCTGTGTATGTGTTCATGTACACATGCATGCATGCCTGTGTGTGTGTGTGCATGCCTGTGTGTGTGTGGCTGTGTGTGTGCATGCCTGTGTGTGTGCCTGTGTGTGTGTGTCTCTGTGTGTATGCTTGGCTGTGTGTGTGTGGCTGTGTGTGTGCCTCTGTGTGTGTGTGTGCATGCCTGTGTGTGAGTGCACACATGTGTGCGTGTTCATCTTCTGTGTTGTCCCATTGGAACCACCTACGTATCCATCCAGTTCGCACAAGCGTCCTTTCCAGCCTCTCATCTACAGGAGTAACTTGAGACATAAAGACAAGTTACAGAAGGCAAGTGTTCCTGGGGCACACAGTGTTCCCAATCGCAGTTTTACCTTTTTTTTTTTTTTGGTACTTTCTCTTTGTTTCACACAGACACATGCACAAACATACAAATACACACATAGACATATACACGTGCAAATACACACTAGCACACATGCACATGGGCACACACATGCGTGCACCACCTCTCCTGAACTGTCTTGGAGAAAGTTTTACATCATCTCATGCCTGAATTCTTCATTGGACATTCTTTTACACAACCACCCTACAGTTAAAATTCTCAGAAACTTTAACATTGATAAAAATAATTTATCTGGTCTATCATTTCTGTTCCAGGATCACTTCCCTCCAGCACGCCTCTAGGAGTCAAGGAGTAATTTAATTACCCCATCCCTTTAGCCTCTCTGTTTACCCCGAGATAACCTCCTTCAGGTTGCTGTTGTGTTCCAGGACACATTTTGAAGTCACCCACACCCCCCACTGCTGGCAAGCCATCTGAACTTTGGACATCTTGGATGTTTCCTGGTGAGCAGATTCAGGCGATGATACCCGTGATGAAATAGAACACCTGTCTTTGTGTGTCGCTCTCAGGAGCTATATCTGGGAAGACTCCACACCCCTCTCTGTTGATGTTAACATCAGTTAGCCAATCAAGGTGATCTTGAAATTTTTAAAATTGGCTTTACATCTAACAAACAATGACATGACATTTTAAGGTCACACAAACATTATGATTGTCATTCACTCCCCCTCGTATTTAGCATTTACTGGAGATTATTCTGGAATGATCTGTGTTATTTTTCCAACTCCACTTCCCTCCTGATCTCACCCATGGGCTTGGCCCCTCCCTTCTGTTCACTAACTCTTAGTTATTCATTGTTCTTCCCTCTGTTATTCTGGTGTCAACATTGCCCAGATCTGGCAACAGGAGCTCCTGTGAGTGGCTATCTTGTCCCTGTGACATAGTCTCATTTGTTTTGGGCACGTTTTTTGTAGCTCCTCGTATCTCTACCATGCATTAACCCTGGAATTTTTTTGTTTCTCTTGATTCTTTTGAATAGGCAATAGTCCTAAAACCAAGGTCTGGACACAGTCCTCTCTATGCATCCCTGGAAGACGTATCCCAAGATCTCCAATGGATGCCAAGAGGTATGCATAATATCAAATCCCAGACATACAATTGGCCTTCCAGCCAAGACAGTTAATAAAGGACCTGTGGGCAGGTGGCTTATGCAAGATGGACACACTGGATTAAAGCATGCTCCTTCGTTGGTGGACAGAAGAGGGGGACACAAAATCTCATTAGGCTACTCTATGCGTCCTAAGATGTGAATTATTCATTTCCAGAACTCTGCATCCAGTATTTCCAGACTATAGCTGATCAGAGCTAACAGAAATAGTGGGAAGTAAAGAGAAGGTCTAGGTGGGACTGACGGGTCTGGGTAGGGTTGCTGTTTGTGAAACAAAATGTCTTTGCTTCTTTGCTCATTTAGTAGGCAAATTGTGTGTGTGTCTGTCTGTCTGTCTGTCTGTCTGTCTCTGTGTGTGTCATACCAGCAATGAGGTATGCGTGCATTCCTGTGTAAGCACACTTGTTTTAGAAACCCACGCTTGCCTCTGCAGAGTTCTCCCTTACCTCCCTCCAGGACATGCTTGTAAGACGTTTCCCACAGTGAAAACTCTGGCCCCGCCCCCTCCTGCCCCCAACCTCCGTGTACACAGTCCTTCCAGGATGTCTAACTCAGTTAAACAGTGTCCTTGTCTGACCCCGCCCCCACCCCCCGGCTAGTGCTGCACTCACCACAAGACATTAACCTAGTAAGTTCTTCCCAAACTGAGGTCACGACCATCAGTTACATACCTCTCTCTTCCTCCTCTCTCCCACTTCCTTCTCTGTCTCCCTTTACCATGGTTCGACACTCACTTCAGATAGAATTCCACTCCTTCTGTCCCCACTCTGCCTGTGACCTGAGCACCCACCCCCCCTCACACACACACAAATATACACTCCCTGTTCTGGCTGCTCCTGTTTTATTTCTGAATGTGAGCTCCATCAGCGTGTCTTTCGAAATCAAAATATAACAGGGGGTTTACTTATGAGAGCATTCTCTTGCTTCCTTGTCTTGTCCCCTGGGAGGTAATCCAATATGACCGCTTCCTGATATTTCTCTTTCACCCCTGTGTCAACGTTTCCTTCTCCCCTTCCTTCCCTCCCACAGGAAAAGCAGCAAACACCAGTGTGTCTCTGCCCTGTGCCTCTCAGCCACCCCAGCCACTGGGCCAAGGAATTCCCATCCCTCCATGCCGAATGTGGTCATTTCAAAGGGTCTGTTTCTCTTATCTTTTACTGCAAAAGTGCTGGCTGTGGAATACATTTAGTTTTCCTCTTCTTATCCACTATAAATTTAAACGGGTGCTCAGAGGTGGGAAACAAACCCTCAAATAGATACGTTGGCACGGATGGCATCGAGCCAAAGCTGAGCAAGTTATTTTTTGGAGCACAATAAGCATTTCTCATACTTTCTGTGTCTAGACGCTCTGCTCGGCTGTGGCCTCCCCTTTGTTGTCTCAATGTTTTCTCTACCAACGGTCTACCCAATCTGGGCCCCACCTCTCAACACCTTCTGGAGAAGCCTTCGTGATAAACCAAGCGCATCTTCGTCTAGATAGTACACTGGTCATCTGGGTTGTACTCTGGCCTCTAGGTTCTTAAGGCAAAGGCCCAATTTCGGTTTTATACAACACTCCCAACCATGGTTTTATACAACACTCCCAACCATGGTTTTATACAACACTCCCAACCATGGTTTAATACAACACTCCCAACCATGGTTTAATACAACACTCCCAACCATGGTTTTATACAACACTCCCAACCATGGTTTAATACAACACTCCCAACCATGGTTTAATACAACACTCCCAACCATGGTTTTATACAACACTCCCAACCATGGTTTAATACAACACTCCCAACCATGGTTTAATACAACACTCCCAACCATGGTTTTATACAACACTCCCAACCATGGTTTAATACAACACTCCCAACCATGGTTTTATACAACACTCCCAACCATGGTTTAATACAACACTCCCAACCATGGTTTTATACAACACTCCCAACCATGGTTTTATACAACACTCCCAACCATGGTTTTATACAACACTCCCAACCATGGTTTTATACAACACTCCCAACCATGGTTTTATACAACACTCCCAACCATGGTTTTATACAACACTCCCAACCATGGTTTTATACAACACTCCCAACCATGTAAGCCCAAAGCCTCGTAGACGTGTTGGCTTTAAAGGCATGTAACGACAGTGCAGGACTGGGTGCCTAAAGATTGTCCTTGAAGGTGACTCACAGAAGAGTAAGGCATGAAGCTCCCAGGGAGTGTAGGAGAAAGGAGAAGGTCCCCAAATGTGACATCTCCCCCTGGACAACGTGTCTGTGCACCCCACAGGATGCCATGGATGTATCTCTAATTCACGCAGTGGCTGAGTATTGGGCTCAGGAATCAGAGTCTGTGGAAAACACGTTACCTCCACATAGACTTTACTTCTCTGCCTCAATTTCATATATGAAATATTCTCTCTCCAGAGGTGGTTGTGTGGGAGTGTAATCCCGGTGATGACGTTTGGAGAGGCAGGAGGCTCCCTGGGGGCTCTGGGAGCTCATTCTCATCTGCCAGCTTCAGGCAGCGAGAGGCCTCACTCACAAAACTAAGTCGATGGCACCTAAGGACGAACGGACGTCCAGTTATCCTTTGACCTCCATACAATGCACCCATGCACATGTATCCGCACATATGCACGGGCAGCATACATGTACACTCTCTCTCTCTCTCTCTCTCTCTCTCTCTCTCTCTCTCTCTCTCTCTCTTTCTCTCATATACACACACACAAATAAGAATCATTTATCTCATACTTACTATCCAACGCACAGTAAGAGACAGGAATCCCCACCCCCACTCCCGACACATGTATTTTTACACCCAGACAGCTTTCCCCGGCCAATCCTGAGATATCTCCTGTGAAATAATAAGTGAAAATGCATCTGTGAGGATTACGCAAGCTCAGGCAGGACAGCGCCTGCACGCACGGTGTTGTAAAACAGGACCACGTGCCCCTTCAGCTGGAGAGCCCTGGCTCAGCGAGCTTCTCCCCACAGGAACCTCGGCCGTGAGCTCTGGGTCCTTACCACGGTGTGTGTGCAGTCTCGTTTGTCTTTACACGGTCTGGGCTCCCATCCCACCCTTCAGCAAGCTGAGACGAAGCTGATGATGGTGGGCACACTCTATAAATACGGAGAAGGGAGCGGGGAGAAGGCACCGGGCGTGAGCGGCGGCAGCAGCGGTAGTGGGGACAGCGGTGACAGTAGACGCGGTGTTGCTCTACCAAAGCATCCGAGACTGGGGAAGGTGTAGAGAAAGAAGGCACAGCGGCCCCCGGTTTTGATGGACGAAGAACACGGCATGGGGGAGGGCCAGCTGGAGCTGATTCGTGAGGAACTCTGTGGGCATGATGTTTAATCAGATGTGGGGCACAGTGTGCGTGGCAGGAGACAGGGTGGCCGGTGCTTTGATTTAAAATATTTTAAAGTAATTATAAGTACTGGATGTAGAAGTAACCGCAATGCATTGCAAACATTCTTTTCAACTCCTGTGTGTTTTCTTGTGTGTGTGTATGTGTGTGTGTGTGTGTGTGTGTGTGTGTGTGGTAGCGATTTTTTTCAGCAGTCAAAGTCCAACTTCCAAACACCTCCTCTTAAATGCCCTTGTGGATAAATGAATGTTAACCCTCCAGTTTTAAACTGATCACTCTGGAGGCTGGGGAGCTGCTGGGTGTTGAGAGTGCACACCGCTCTCCTGGAGCAAGAGTTCCCCGCGCCCACCCTGGGAAGCTCACACTCTCTGTAACTCCAACTCCAGGGGGTGCCATGGACACCGGCACTCACGTATGCACACTCACACACAGACACACACCCGCACAGACAATTGAAACTAATGTAGGTCTTCCTCTGAAAGATCACCAGGTAGCCAGCCAAGATGAGTTCCCGATCTTGGTTCCTTTAAACAATTCCTCTCACAAACAGTGTTTAAGTGGAAACATTTTACGTTGATTTAGGGCACTGGAGAACTTAGTCCAAACAAAACAAAACAAAAAACAAAAAGGGAAAGAAAACGGGAGGCATAAAGAGGTTTGCCTCCTGGACGATTCTAGATCCCAATTAGTGAACAGTGTTAACAGACACACCTGGCAAGTGGGTTAAGGTTTTGGGGTACAAGAGATGCTGGAAGGAATACAGGGACTAGCCAATGGTGTCACATCCCATTAGAAAAGAAGGTGCGTGTAAGTTAGGAGCACAGTGTGGGCTCCTGTGCTGTGGGGCCCCACCCGTCTTGATAATTAGCTCTGCACATTGCTGGGGGAAACACCCTTTGCTGGGAGCACAGTGGGCCTCGCTGGGGCTCATCCCGGGGTGGATGCTGCCGCGTCTAAGCAGTTGATGACGTCTGTCTTCTCAGCGCTGGGCCAGCGTGGCTGCAGTCGCTTGTAGCAATTAGTCTCTGTTGTGTGCAAAGCCCCTCGTGTTGACTGAACCAATTAAAAGATCAATTAGTGCAGTGCAAGCGCTCGGAGAGGTGGCTCAGTGTGACAGGGACTCCGATCTCCGTCTGTGTAGAGAGAGCCGCAATCAGAACCATCGTTTGGGAAGACGGATTATTCGTTCCTAATCCTTTGGTTTTTAAAATGTCTGGACATTGGCAACTGTGTCGTGGAAGCAGTTAGTCAGTGGACCAACTCGACAAGGGGGCTTTCTTTTATCAAAATGTATTTTATTTTTGACTGTGTATGTGTGTCTGTGGGCGGGTGCGTCTGTGCATACGAGGGTGGGTGCTCGCAGAGGCAGGGGGCATCCCATCCTCCTGGAATTAGACTTACTTGTGGGTTTGGAACCAGACTCACATCTTCCAAAGGGGCAGAACTCACTTAAGCGCTGATCCGTCTATTTATAATGATTAAATAACAGCAATTAGATAAAAGTGATAAAATAACATTGAATTTGTAGATAGTTGGTATTTTGTCCAGAATGGTTATTTTTTTCTCCATGTTTTATCACTTTGGACTTTTTATTTTTATGTTAAAAGGCGAAGGATTCAAGCCTCAGTTGTTCTAAGTTTTTCCTTCTCAGCATGTGAATGGTCTTGACAGTGTAGGTATTTTACCACTGCAGACTCCTAGAGCTGGCTCTGAGTTGTCACTGATGGCCCAAGAGCCAAGGCGGGCAATGGGGTCACAAGCACGTGTCTCAGTTGTGACTGATGTCTCAATCTCCTTTTCTTCATCGCTGGTGATTGAATGGGAGCCTTGTGCATGCTGGGCAAACATTCTTCCATTAAATCACATCATCATATCCCTGGCTGTTTGGGACTGGATTGTGAAGGCTGCCTTGACTTGGTGTATAGAAGATCTAACCCCTAGTCCCTCAGAATCTGCCCTTCATTGGAAAAGTGGGCATATTCTCTCTTCCTCCCTCCACCTCTCCCTCCCTCTCTCTCTCTCTCTCCCTCCACCTCTCCCTCCCTCTTCCTCCCCTCTCTGCTCTGTCATCTCAAGTCAAGATGGGGACAGAGTTAAGTGAAGCGTCTAGAATGCAAGAAACACCAAAGGCAGCCAGCAGAAATTTCCAGAGTCTAAGAAAGGTCTGGGGCAGACTCGTCTCAGAACCTCACAAGGAACAAATCCTGCTACAACACAGGCTTGCTCTTAAGACACTCAACACTGGTCCTTTCTAAGATCCACTCCAGGGAATAAGTTCAGGGACAGAAATTTCTTTGTACATTTTCCTGCCCAACAACCCAGAATGCTACACTGCAGTTATCTGCTTAGCAAGATAAATAATAGCAATTCAGTGGTTGGAAAGCTGACCCCTAAACTACTGTAGAATCGTACAAACCAAGAGAACCCAGAAGCATTTCTTTGCAGTCCTGTTATGGAATACATAACGTGTGTTTTCAGAAGTCGTGATTGACAACTCCACTTGTTTACAAGTAGGAGGTCCCCACCCACCAGCTCTCACCACTTATAAAACCGAGTATTATTTGAAGGCCTCTGAAGATATCTAATAAAACTGCTAAAAGAGTCGTTTGATCTCTGGGCAGCTCCGAGGACAGATACAGCTCCGTTCTTTCTGGAAAACGCTTTGTTCTTTCAACTGCACTTAAGGAGGCACCAGAACAGCGTCTAATACAGAGGCTTTCCGACGCTGTAGAACAAAGTCAACCCAGGTCCTTATCACGTGAAACTGCACAGGGATAATCTTCTAGAAGACAGAAATAATTCTCCATAATGCACTTGGCAATACTTTGATCTTTTGTGCATTTTTTCCTTAATAGATGGATGTTATAAACCTAGCTGTACTTGTGGAGGGGTTAGCTCAGTGAAGCGACGGCAATGTTACTAGAGCCTGAAGATTATGTTTTGAATATAAGTTATTGAGAGGACCGGCATGATTTTACAAGTTCCTGAAAAATGCGAGATTACATTCCAGTGCTCCCCCCCACCCACACACCATTCCAGTGTTAATGCCAAAGATTTGCTGTCCTGTATTTAATTTTCTCCTGTTTTACTAACTGTTCACAGACTTTAGAAGAGCCTTTGAAATGTCCGTCTTCCACCGAGAACAGCAACATGCAGGCGAAACGCTTCCATGCTCCCACGATATCTCTCACTTCCCCGTCTCTCGCTCACTCCCACTCTGCGTTAGACTGGGGGAGGGCAGAGGAGAAGAGAGCAGGGGAACTGTAATCCCAGGATAGAGATCTAAGACCCCTTTGATGCAAGGGGAGCCACCAAAGAACGCATCACAAGGGAAGGTTGCCATCAGATTCCGAGTCTTGTTAAGGCCATGGTGGGAGCTGCTTCAAGTGGCATGGGAAGCTGGGAAAGACACATGCTGGCCCTGTGGCTAGAGCGGATGGAGGAACACCTCTAACAAGATGTGTGAACCCCGAGTCCCACGTGTTGGCCGTTGCAGTGCTAAGCCTCGGACTGCGTGGCCGCCTGACTCGTAGCTTTGAAAACACAGTGGCCGGTGCTGTTCGTGAGGCCTAAAAAAGAGAACCAAGTGTCATTATTCAGCCCTGGCCTTTCCCATCCGAAGTCTTTTTCTAGTCCATTTGAAGAATTCCAGGACGAGAATCAGGGTCGAGGCGGATTCTTCCACACCTGTAGAATGAGGTGTCCTCCATGTGTGCGATCTGCCCAGACAATCTGAGGTTGCCCAGTGTGTGGCCCAACTGCATCCTGGATATGCCAGCCAGTGTTTGCTTCACAGGGGTGGCCTCCTGCACTGTGGACATCTGTCCCCTTCAGGACTGGTTGAGGGAAGGGGTGTGCTCCCTCTCGGAATGAGGACAACGCCGAGGCATCAGAGAGGAGCTTGGACCGTACCATGGGAGTGCTCTGCCACCAAACACTGGACGGAGGCCAGGAGGATCGCCTGACCCGCCTGATCACTGATGGGACAGCACTGCCATCTGCCAGGTGTGCAGACACACTTCACACGGGAGCCAATAGGTGGCAGAGTGATCTTTTCTAGACCTCACGGTGGAAATCGCTACAGGGTCTGTAGCAGGGCTTCAGCAACTGAGTGTCTTGGCTTGCAACACCACCGCCTCTCCCCCCCCCCCCCCAGTTAAAGTTCTTCCCATAGTCCAGCCATTCAGACAGGTTAGTGCTTAAGTTTGTAAAAATATTTACAGGCAGCTGAAATAGCAGGATGCAGAACAATTAGCCAGAATACCCACAGACACACATCTATTGCCTTAAGTTGTGCCTTCTTGTGTTTAGAGATTTTGTTTTTTTCCTTTGTTTGTTTTGTGTTTTTAGGACATTTCCTTTTCTGTTGACATGTAGAGGTGAACATGAAAACCACGGCAGTATGACATCCCTCATGACAGTACAGCAGAGTCATAGTGGAGGACTGAGCTGGAGGTCAGTGTCCACAGTCAAACCCCTGTGAGTGGTCCACACACATGCTAGGGAGGGACCTGAGAAGTGAGTCTCCTTAAAAGACTAAAAATAGAACTGAGAGCTGATATCAGGTTAGGAATTCCCTGTTATCAGTCTCACTTTCGCATGCTGCTGACTTATTATTGTTGTCCTTCATTAAAAAATGATACAAGCATAATAACTCCAGCAGCTGCACAGAGAGAAAGCACACACACACACACACACACACACACACACACACATGGAAATTGGGAAGGCAGTTCCAGAGTGACCTCCGGAGTCTTTATGGCTGTCATGCATTTGTTATGTCTCAGGTAGACTCTGGGATTGTTTGCCTAAGGCATGGGGGTCCTCTCTGGCTCCACCCTTGGCTCTGATCCCGTTGAGACAAGGGGCTGGTGAGATGGCCCGTGGGGAAAGGCACTTGCTGCCATGTCTGGCCACCCACATTCCAACCCAGTGACATACAAGGTAAAATGAGAGGCTGACTCCCTCTGTTGTCCTCGGATGGCCACATGGCATTGTGGTTCATGGGTGCCCACACACACACACACACACACACACACACACGTACATAGTGCACACGCAATAAATAAATAAACAGATAAATAAATAAACAAATGCAGCAGAACGAGGGTGGTGGTTGCCTTGCGTATATCATTAAGGATTACCAAAAACCAAACTTAAAACAAAAACAAAAGCAAAAAAACACCCCACAAAACAAACACTCTGGATAAACAAAATAAACACTAAATGAATGCAGATAATAAATTTTTAAAGACTAAGTGGAACGGAATGAAGGAGACCCCATCATGATTAAAAGTTCATAAGTCTAAGGAAGAATGAAGCCGTAAACAATCTGAGGCAAAAGGAAGAATGAAGGACCACCCTAGGGCCATGGCTTCCACCCTCCACACAATGGAAAACTATGCTGTCCTGAAAAATGAGTATAAGACCATCTCAAACACGCTGGTGTTTCCTCTGAGGACTTCGGTTCTTTTTAAAAGCACCATGGTGTAAGAGATTTGTCGCTCCTTCTGTCTGCTCTCCTGGCAGGCCTCACGCTCCAGGTTGTGTGGTGGGCCGCCAAGCCACAGCACTATATGGTGCGGCTGAGACATGTTCAGATACACCAGAGGATTCTTCTCAGAGATCCAGAGTCCCGACTCTGATTTAAGCAGATTACAGAACCCCGTGATCACTACAGAGTAGCAAAAAGGGGTCCTACCTTCCTCCCTGCCTTCTGTCACAAGGAACAGCCTTTATTGTTTTGTATGTGTGTTGTATGCATATGTGTACACATATTCCCTTGTGTCTGGACATCCATGTGTGCACAATGAATATGGATGGGTGTATGTGTGTGTGTGTGTCTGTCTGTCTGTCTGTGTGTGTGCATGCATGTGTGTGTCTCTGTGTGTATGTGAATGTGTGTGTGCATGTCTGTGTGCGTGTCTGTGTGTGTCTGTGTGTGTCTGTGTGTGTGTCTGTGTGTGTGTCTGTGTGTGTGTCTGTGTGTGTGTCTGTGTGTCTCTGTGTGTCTGTGTGTGTGTCTGTGTGTCTCTGTGTGTGTGTCTGTGTGTATGTTTGTGTGTGTCTGTGTGTGTGTCTGTATGTGTGCCTCTGTGTGTGCCTCTGTGTGTGTGTGTCTATGTGTGTGCATGTTCCCACTTTATTTACCACAGCCGGTCTCTTCGGTGAACCAGGAAGTTGTCAATTTGGCTAGTCTAGCTGGTGTACTTGCTCCTGGCAATCCCCTGCCTCCGTCTCCCGAGTGCTGGGGTTGCACACAGGCTGCCTTGCCATCCCGGCATCTACGTGGTGAGGGGCATCTGAACTCCAGGCTGCATGTCCACACGATAAGCACTTTTCCTACTGAGCCATCGCCCCAGCCTGGGACACGCAGCCTTCAGAGTCCAATCCCCTCTTTCCAGTTTCTACCTGGATGCCTGGAGACGGTCTCCACCTCCTACAAAGTCAGGCAAGTGGACTCTGCGCTCCCGAGAAGCGTCTTCTTGGTCAAGCTGCTCTCAGAGGTGTGGACCTCTCCACACTTCCGTGTGGTTCTCTCTAAGCTGCCTGCTACGGGGAAGGTTTTCGTAGGTTTCTTTTACCCAGCCATTGAATATGTGGTAACCGCAATGCCAGAGGCTGGAGTCTGAGTGTGGGTAATACTGGAAGACAGACAGTGTTAACAGAAAGTGCCACCCCGGGGTCACCGGGCAGCCAGCAGCCCTGGCTTCAGCTCCTTCACCTCAAGTCAGGTTCATGCGCTTTTCATTCCTGAGAAGAAGGAAGGCAAATGTCAGACAGGAGTGCTAACTACCCACAGCTCTTTGGAGTTATCCTCTGAACGGCAAGCGCACTTGGCGGCAGCCACGTTTCCTTGTTTGTTGGGCCACAGAACAATAACCCACTTGTTACAGCATTTAAATAAAACAGGCTGGTTTTGGAAAGATTCAAGGAAAGACCTTCGGACCCGAGGAACATTGTAGAAGATGGGTGGAGAGATCCCAAGAGCCAGGTGTTGAGAACAGCTGGAGACGGTGCCTTTCGCACACACGGAGGCGCACACCAGCTGTGGTCCTCTGTCTAGGACCTGCACCAGACCAAGGCAGGCAGTCTTCTACCGCGGATGGCCGAGGGGTTCATGTGCCCCCCCACCCCTAGCAAAAGCCTTCTACCTCGGATGGCGGAGGGGCTCATGCGCCCTCACCCCTAGCAAAGGAGCTGTTAGGAGCTGATGGAAGCTGGAAAGGGACAGTTTCCTTTCGTGTCCCCGGGCTGGTTTCCCATGCTCCAGTGGATGGTTCCACATCTGTGCCCGTACGGGTAGCGCTGACAAGACGCAGCAGCAGTCATTTAAAACAGTAGCAGAAGGACTTGCAGTTGGGAGGGGGCGCTGTGGAAGGGTAGCAAGAGTGGATTTAGTCAAAACACATTGTTTACATGTGTGAAATCCTTAAAAGGAAAAACGTATTTTTTAAAAGGTGAGTTTCGCTTTTAAAACTACGTTCTAAAGATAAGGGGGTTTCTGTCTACAGCCAGGCTTGCTAGATGTAAATGTTGTCTATTATGCAGAGGCAACTTGAAAATCTGAGAGATAAAAATGACATCTGAATGTACAAACAAATGGTTGGAATTTTTATCTTCAAAATTACAGAAAGTTACTTTTAGGATTTTTGGTGGGGGGAGGCAGGGGTTGAGACAGAGTTTTTCTGTGTTGCCCTGGCTGTCCTGGAACTTGCTGTGTAGACCAGGCTGGCCTCGAACTCACAGAGATCCGCCTGCCTCTGCTTTCTGGGTGCTGGGATTAAAGGTGCGCGCCACCATTGTCCAGCTAATCTTAGGATTTTTGATAATTTACATTTATGGGGTTTCATTTCTCAGTTTTAAGAAATTCCATGATAGCCAGGCAAAGTAAAATGGCAGGCTTAATCTAGTTGAATTATTTTTCCTCTACCAAACATGTTTAAACTCATATCGGAAAAAAAAAGGTTTGGATGGTTTCCCTTAAGGGTATAAATGTACATCCTGTCTTTTCTTAAATACACACGAAAACTGGGTTAAAGCTTTTTTTTTTTTCTTTAAGATTATTCTTGGCAACTCTCTGGGAAAGTCTGTTAGCTTGTCAAGATAAATTTTACAAGAAATATCCCAGGTTATGGAAAACATGGCAGAAATGTCCCAGAGATAAAGGGCCCTTGCAGAACTGGGGTTACACGTGTGCTGGTGTATGTGCATGCATATAGGGGAACTCGGGACATGGAGAGCGTCCTGGAAGCTAGCGGCAGCCTTCATGGCCTCATTTCGTTTTTCAAGTAACAGATTCTGTCGTGGAAAAAAAAGGAATTGCGGTTTTAGAAACATGAGTAACTGTTTCTGAGTGGCAATGCATGTGCCGTGTGGAGAGCTTTCTGTGGACCACGGTCTGGCGTAGTCGTGACAACGCACGCACTGCAGACCAAGTGAGGCCTCGCTCCTTCCAAGAAGGGCTCTTCTTTCTGTTGTTTGAAAATGTCCCGTCACTTCACCATAAACACTTCTCTCTTCTATTTCAAGGAGCACCAGCTCGAGTGTGGGTGTTGCACTTTAGGGCTGGCGGGTCTTTGGATGTCTATTTACATTCTCTAGCGGACAGAGTCCTCCTTCCTTTCCATCCTTGATACAAGGTAAAGCTTCCCAGTGTCTGGAAAGAAAGGCTGTGAGGAGGCTGTGGGCCACCGTCCAGGGACTGTAGGTGGCGGAGAGACGGGCGGCCCAGTACTGAATGAAGCACAGGCCTTGGAACCAGGCAGGCCTTGCGAAAGCCCCTCCAAGCAGTGTCTCGCTGGGGAGAAATAACAGAGCTGAGGCCTATTGAATGATCGGAATGGAAGCCTGGCCCGTGGTGACACGGGGCCAACCGGCGACCTTGGTTTTGTACTGCTGCCGCTAAGATAGTGACGTGTCAAGGGTGTGTGTGTGTGCATGTGCATGTGTGCACATGTGCGTGTGCGTGTGCAGCTGCATGTAGAGGCCGTGGAACAGTCTCTGGTGTTGCTCTGGTGTCGTCCTCAGGGATATTATCCACCTACTGTGAGACAGGGTCTCTCTTCGGCCTAGAGTTCACCAATTAGGCTGTCCTGCTGTCCAGCAAGGCCCAGGGATGCGCCTGTCTGAGGTTACAAGCGTACACCACCGGCCTGACTCTTGTTAAAATGTGGGTCCCGGGATAGCAGCCTCACACTGCAGGACAAGCACTTAGCCGCTGGGACATCCTCTCCCCAACCTGCAGCCCTGTTGCTGCAACACAGCCGGGTGGGGAGCTGGGTTCCAAGCTCAGGGGGACAGGTTGTAAAGATACACATTTGATGACCGTTTTTCCCTAAGAAGACGCAGTGGAGGTCCTCAGGGCTCTCCCAGTGTGACAGCTCTCCACCGCCCATGCTGTCTGTCCCTCCTCCTGACATCTCTCTCCCCAGCAGGGCCACCTGGGCACTTCTCCCACTCTGTCTCTGTACTTTGAAGCTGGAGACAATTCCTGGAATTTAAGCTATTTTTTTTACCTTTCTTACTAATTTCCATGAATTTTTTCTAATTCCTGAACCATGTGAATCAGTGGCATTCAATCGTTACTTGACAGTGTTTATTTTTTAGCGTTTTAAGAACATGATAGAATTTGTTTTTAAACTAAAGGGTATTTTGAATAAACTAGAATTGATTTTGCATATATGAGTTGTAAAGAGAATGCCTTTAGCCATAAAAAGAGTAGAGTAACGCGGTACCTTTTACTTTATTTCTGTGTCCCTTCCTTCTATAAAGAAAGTATGCTCACTTGTACATACGGGTACCGTGTGCTTTTCCATCCCTACGCATCCGCAGCTCCGTGGCGTTTCCTGGAGTCACAACGCCGCAGAGGCGTCCTCACGTCTGAACCTAGACCCTTTTAAGTGGTCTGGCGGCAATGAAGACACTGTGTCCCTCGGTCTCAATATCAGACTGAGGAAGCGATGGCCACAAAGGAATGGGGACTTCCCCCAGAGTCTCAGGCTGGGAGAGGGAAATGCTGCCAGCCAGAGAGGCACTTGACTCCTCAAAGAGATGCGATTCTATCAACTTATGAATGCGATTCTATCAACTTACGAGAGAGCCTTACAGCACGAGACTGAAGGCCAGAGGCGGATGGCTCAGTGGTGCGTAGGTCACAACTTGACTGCGACTCTCATGCCCTTGACCTCTACTTAAACTTTAGACTCACTTGGAGGAGCTGATGTCTGTCTGTCTGTCTGTCTGTCTCTCAGCAGTAGGTCCTTGGGATCGAGCTTTTGAGTGGTAGTCTAGCCCTGTTTCAGGCCTGACTTTTCTGCTACTTGTCTGCCAGATGAGAGAGAGCTGTGAGGTCCAGCACCAAAGCCGCAGCCCAGCCATCATGCCCCTCCCACTATGAGACTCTGAGCCAAACAGTGGCCCCCCCGGACCGTCATATATTTGGTGACAGAGATGAGAAAACCGCCTATGACACCTGTAAGACCTTGTAGGATGGATGCTGGATGGCTGTCGCTGGTTCCTCCAGGCTGCCCTGTCTGTGGTCTGCGGGGATAAGGGTTGTCTTATATATGTCCCCGATGAAGTTAGGGTCACCCCAACTGGGTTGTCCTTGCCACAGCCTGTGGTCCAACCACCAGCTGATCCCACATCCATAAGTTCTTCCTACACTCAGGGGAAGAGCTTCCACAAGGCTCAACCCACAGAGGCAGGGCATGTTGGGGACATTTCAGAATTCCACCGCTTCCCTATGTGAGAATGAAGAACGTATAGCCCAAATGGGGCGGGACATTAATTGCTATGCTATGTTTCTACTGGGTTGT